CCAAGGCGTGCCCATAATAACGTTGTAGATAGCTGGGAAATCGACTACCGCGAAGTTAACGATTTTTGTCACTTCTTTTGCGGCGACCGGTAGTCGGATTGATCCCAGGGTCATTGACGTCCCGCCGGAGAAACTAGTTAGCGGTTTTGGAATCGGCTCGATTGCCGAGAGATCGATTCCCATGCGTGCTAGCGTGTTGCGAATGATCACGTTGACAGTACTTCCGGTATCGACCAAGATCCGAGCTACTTCCAAATCGCTTATTACTAAGTCGATCACGAGAGGATCAGCGTGAGGTTGGTCGATTCCGCCGGTTTCAGCGTCGTTGAATGAGATCACTCCTTTCGGAGGGTCATCCGTCGGCACCTTCCAACTCGAGCCGGTTTCGGCTTTGCGTTGGTAGGATTTTATAGACGAAATGGTGTCGTTGTAGTATTGCGATTCGCCGATAATCATGTTGATTTTTTGGCGGTTAGCATCATTACCCTTCTCGTCTTGTCTTCGTCCGCGCTTTTCGCCTGACTGGTTTCCCTGAGGCGGAGTTTCCGCTCGCGCGTTCTTGACGTTCTTCGGAAGGCGATCCGAATCGCGGATGAGATCCTTGACACTAGATATCTCGGAAAGTTCTCCCGCGACCAATTTTGCGGCAAGTCTGGCGCCGAGAAGTTTGCAGTTCACGGTGGATTGCCCGCGGGTTTGGTGGAGGCCGCAGAAAGAATTCTCATCGTAATTCGAATTTCTCGTCCACGTGTTTCTCGTAGTTCGCCCTTGCTCCGAACCGGAGTTGATGGCGTAGTTATGCGCCCCTTGGAGATCCTGTCCCTCGTGATGGACGAATTTGTCGTTACGAGAGTTCCTCTTTTTCTGCTTCTGCTCGGACGCGTTATCCTTTGCGGACGTTTTCGTCGGCTTATGCTTTTCGGACAGGATTTTGGTCTCCTCTTCGATGGTTATATAGTCAGTGGCCTTATGGAGCGCATCCTGGATCGTCCGCGGTTTCTCGAGAGTTATCCACTTGCGGAACTTTGATTTATACCATAGCGATTTCCTTAACGCGTCGATGGCGGCTTTGTCGCTGATTCCGCTAAACCTAGCCATGACGAGTTTGAATCTGCTCATAAAATCGCTGAGAGATTCGTCCTCCTTCTGCACCAAACTCCAGAGGTCGGCGTCGGAGGTTTCCGAGTTGATGGACATCGAGTACTGCTTCAGGAATTCTGAAGCCAGTCGACGGAAACTTTCGATCGAATTTCGCCTAAGTTTGGCGAACCATCCGAGCGCGGCTCCTTCCAGGTTTTTGACGAAGAGGCGGCAGTAGCCTGCGTCTTTTTCATGGTCCTTGAGCTTGGCTCGTCCCATGGTAATCTGGAACGCTTGTAGGTGCGCTTTGGGATAGGACGTCCCATCGTAAGTCGGCACCTAAAGTTTTCCGGGATCGGGCAGTTTGATCTCGGTGATGCGGGCCGTGAAAGGCGTTTTCCGAGACTCGTACAGTAGCCGATCAATCTAGGGTGCGGCGCTGGTAGCGTGCTGAATCTGAGATTTCACCGCCTTTACCGCTGCGGCCGTTTTGGTGATATATTCGCGGAGATCGCGCATCTCGGTCAGACCGCCAGCAGTTTTCCGACCTTCTCGACGTTTGCTGCGTGTGACCGGAGATCGCTCCTCGGCGGTTTTTGCGTATCGCACGAAGTCGAGTTCCCCTTCGTCTCCAGTAAAAGAGCGTTCGGGAGAAGACTCCGGCAGAGGACTTCGCGTCTTTCTTCTCCTAGGATGGACGTCAGCGTGTTCGTCTGTCGAATCGGCCTGGTCGCTTGTCTCCAGGTTAACCCTTTCGATGCCGTCACCCTCGGTCTCCTGTTCGTGAGTAGGAGGTTTCTCCGATTCGTTCAGCGTCGCGTTAGGATTGTCTTTTCCGGAATCCTTTTCCGGTAAGTTACACTGCTCGGTTCTGGGACGATCCGTCGGAGCGCTAAAGTCCAGCCTTCTTCCGCGGATCTTCGTAGTTCCGCGGGGGCGAATTGCTCGGGTTTTCGCGGTTAGGGTTTCCACCTGTTTCGCGAGCGAACCAATGAGCTTTTCCTGCTCTTCCGATTTTTTGTTAAACTCGGAAAGCATCTTCTCGAGGGTCTAGGCGTTAGCGTTTGTAGCGTTGGCCGCAGACGCTCCTTGTGGTGGTGTTGTTTCAACATTATCACGTTCGTCGCGAGTTTGGTTGTCACCAGTCATCATTTCTTCGTTGGACATGTTGCGGCTTCGGTGCAAGATAGATCCGACCCCCCCCCCCTCCTTCTAGCGCCAAAACTGTAGGAACCGAAATCCACCTACTGTCAAATAATCGTAAATAAGGAAACTTCGGGAAAACCCTATGTTTCCAGAGGAACCGGCTATCTGCAGAACCACACAACGAATATTAAGAAAACGATGAACTTTAAAATTAAAACGAGATGGAACGGAAGATGTTTCAGCCGTGGTTCAGAATGCGACCGTGTCGAAAGACGTAAGTTTCGAATCGGGAATGCGGGAGACCGAGGCTCGGGACGTCCAAGAAGTTTCTAGTTCGCCCACCGGTGAGTATCTCCTAGTTCGCCCATCGGCGAACTTAGCCGGGCTGGCTTAGTTCGCCCGATGGGCAAACTAGTCGAGCATCTCCTAGTTCGCCCATCGGCGAACTAAACTGTGCCGGCTTAGTTCGCCGATGGGTGAACTAGTCGAGTGCCTCCTAGTTCGCCCATCGGCGAATTAAGCCGGCTCGGCTTAGTTTGCCCGTGGGCGAACTAGTCGTGACTAGTTCGCGTTTTATGGCTGTTTCAGTTTTTTACGGTTTCGTAAAACGATTCTTTGAGTTTTATAAAACGATTCTCGAGTTTTATAAAATGATCTTTGGGTTTTATAAAACGGCTTCTCGAGTTTTATAAAATGATTCTCGAGTTTTATAAAACGATATCCGGGTTTTATAAAACGTCTTCTCGAGTTTTATAAAATGATTCTCGAGTTTTATAAAACGATCTTCGGGTTTTATAAAACGGCTTCTCGAGTTTTATAAAACGATTCTCGAGTTTTATAAAACAATTCTCGAGTTTTATAAAATGATCTTTGGGTTTTATAAAACGACTTCTCGAGTTTTTTAAAACGATTCTCGAGTTTTATAAAACGATCTTTGAGTTTTATAAAACCATTTCTCGAGTTTCGTAAAACGACTCCTTGGGTTTTATAAAACTATTCCTTTTGTATTTTTTCGGGGAGTTTTTGCTATTAATTCCGTCGTACCAATTTTGACCCCAACAAACCCTAATTTCCTAGAGGACCCGGCTATCTGCGGAACCGCACAAGAACAATCAAGAACACGACAAGTATGAAAAAGATGTAAAAGAAAAACGAGATCGAGAGAAAGAAGGATCTTATTCCGAATTTGTGTAAGAACGGTACAACAAGAGTAGCCTTAGCTGCGTGAGCCGTTGGCGATATTCCTAACCCTAGCAATCTAAGACTAAAACGCTAGTTGAGACGCAGCTCGATAACAAAAACGGAAATATTCCTAAATGCTAAGTTTTGTGGTGAAAGCTCTGAAAACTTGTTTTTTGCTTCTGTCCTCTGCCTTTTGCTTATATACTACCTTCCTAGGCGGCTTAGTCATTCCATTTCGCCCAGATTCGAGTTTATCGAGAATCTTTCCTTTTTCAACGCGGAAATCTTTTATTTATCCTCAAACTAGACATATATCTTCAAATTTGACATTTATCTTCTTTCTTCGAGTAAATCTATAAAACGTCGTCGTATATTTAGGCTAGACTTTGATAAAGTCACGTGATAGGCTTTTATTGCGTTTTAGGAATTTCCGAACCGTTTCGCGATAAAACCGTTTTACGACTTTATACGAGATCGTTTCCTGATGCGATGCCGTTTTTAAATAAGTTTCTCGAGTTAATCGTAAAGTTTGGAAATGTTCGATGCTTCGGTTAATCGTTGCCATTTTCTACGATTTACTCGAGGTTTTATTAAAAACGCGTCTTTTACGATTTCTCACGAAAAATCTCGAGTAAATCGTATAGTTAGTGAATGTTCGGTGTTTCGTTTAACCGTTTCCGTTCTATTCGTTTTCCTTGAGTTCTTTCGAGAAAACAAGACTTTACGGTTTTTATCGTAAAACTTGAACGATAGGACGGATCGAGACGAAAAGAAAGACGTTCCAACCATGGTTCAGAACACGATCGAGCCGAAGGACGTATGCCTTGAGTCGAGGACGTGGGAGGTCGAGGCTCGGGACAGTCAGCTTGACGTACGGCGAGCCAAACTGGGTTGGTTCAGCTTGCCGTGGTTTGGTCGAACCAGCTCACCGTACGGCGAGCTGGCTCGATGCCACCTAGGGTGCCGTACGGCGATCTGGTCCGGGACCGACCAGTTCACCGTACGGCGAGCTAACCGGTTGGTTCGGCTCGTCGTACTTTAAACTTGGTTCAGTTGAACCTTCTCGCGGTTTACGGTGGATGCGGTTTTTCGCAGTTTTGTGCCAAACTCGGGCAATCGTGTAATCGGTGTTGTTTCATTCATTCTTCCGAGATGACGATTTCCAAGTTTTCCGAGGATTTCCTTGGTTCAAAAATTTCTTAGAATTTTATAAAACGGTTTCTCGAGTTTTATAAAATGTATTTTTGTTTTTGCGGAAAGTTTTGGTCATTGATTCCGTCGTACCGATTTTTACCCCAACAGCAAGAGGAATTGATATCTTTGCATGATGGTAGGAATTACTTGACTTATTTTTCCTTTGGTGATACTTTGCAGGTGGAACTCATCCGGCTTGTGCGGGCGGAGAAGCCAATGTTTTTAGGGCCCGGGCCCTTCCTCTTGCACAGAGTTAGGTGGCCCATCTCTTCAGTCCCGCCGTGTTGGGTCGTGTGAGGCTACAGGGTGAATTTCTTTCTTTGGCCATGTTCCTGTGCTGTCTCAGATTAACTACTAGCTATTTTATTTAAGCAGATGGCATAGTAGAAGAGGATCCGATGGAGGCCTTTAATAAGGCGAGTGAGGCTATTTCGGCGAGGAAGGGTACCGCTACCTCAGCCGCTTCGGGGGACGATGTTATGATAACTGGGAGTAGCCGCAAAATGACGATCAAAAGCGAGATTGTTTCTTCTTCTCAGGGGAGAAGGCTGAGGGGTAGGATGGCCACTCGATCGTCTCCACGAGCTTTTGATGCTGAACACACGGCTGGAGGTTTTTCCGAGGCTCTCAAAGACCTGAATGCTAGTGTGTTTTTGCAGGAGAGTACCCCTTTCTCGAGTGGAGATCCCGCGGAGGTGATCCTAATGCTTCATGAGAGACTTCTTCAGGTAAGGCCAAGATTCTTTCCCTCGTTTTAGCCTTGCTATAGTGAATCTGACGGTATGACCCTTCGCGCAGGTTACTTCTCCATTGCATCGTTTGGGAACTCGATTGCTGGAGGAGGATGTGTCCTCAATCAAGGAAGAAGCAAGGGAGTTGTCCCGTCAACTATCTGAGGAGAAAAGCAGGAGGATCGCTCAAGGAATGGAGCTGCGTGATCTTCAGACCAATATCAAGGCTATTGAAGGAGCGGTGGAGACCTCTTCGTCGGAAGTTTTAACGCTAAGTCGTAGGAACCAAGAATTGGAAGAGACTTTGGAGAGGCTGAGAACCGAGAGGAAGACCTTGGAGGACATGAAAGTGATGGCCGTGAATGGGGTAAAGATCATCTCCCGCTGGGAAATGATGCGGGACTGGCTCGCTGGGCGGTCCCATAGCTGGGACGTGGCCAGGGAGTTTGATCGATACAAGGCCGTGGTTATTGTCGAGGCAAAGTTTAGAGGCGTGGATCCTCCTTCTTTTACCGTTGAACCAGTCATTCCTCCATCCTCCGGCTCTGGCAGACCACAAATTTATGTTTTTTTTTTTTTAAAGTCTTGCCTTGCTTTGCTTTGTTGTTTTTGTTTTTCTTCCTGAATTTCTTCGAATCCTGATTCATGTTGCTTTTTGTCAATGAAGTTTCTTTTTCATACGCGTACTTGCCCGAAGGTTGAGACCTTGTTGATTTATGCTGGGAACGAAATGTCAGGATCTTTCTTTCCAATGCTTAAGTCCCAGAGGTTTTGGGGTGGATGCTTAGCATCCTGCTTAGATCGTGAGATCCCTGATTGGGCCCTGCATTCTCTTACTCGGTCGTGGAGATGGGAGGTTTCTTCGTGGAAACAGGAACTCATGGTTCTGAATTGGCAGGCTCGTTGTCCGGGCCTGGAGATTCTGATTGAGCTCGGAGGTTCAGTGCTCCGACCTGAAGGTTTTCATAGGCCCAAAGGTCTATAGCTGGGTCCGAGGGCCAGAAGTGTAAAATTCAGGATTTTGAACACTGGGAACTCGGAAGTTCATGGTTTAACCCAGAGGTTAAGTATTCGACTCTAAATGTTGAAATCAGTTACTTGGGACCTGAGGCCAAGGATAATTATTCAGAATCCGGAGGTTCTCTGAGTAGGTACTAAGGTGCTTGACCTGGACACGGAGGTGAGTAGTTAAGAGATGTAAAATTCGGGACTTTGAACATCGGGGACCCTAGGGCCGAACCATGGGTCCCTTTGAGATCGCATTCTTCCTTCCTGGTAGGCCATTACCGATCTCGAGTGAGAATTTAAAATTCAGGATTTTGAACATTCGGGGCCCGAAGGCTTGTTATTATTGAGATTGTATTATGCCGCCCTTAGGTGGGGCACTACCGATCTTTGTGTAGAAATGTAAAATTCAGAATTTTGAACATTTGGGGCCCAGAGGCTTGTTGTCATCGAGATAGTATTCTGCCTCCCTTAGGTAGGCCACTACCGATCTCGGGTAAGGATTTGCATTCTGCCACTTGGGCCACTATCGAGATCCTATAATGTTGCACTCTACTTTCTGCAGAAAGCCACTCTCAGTCTTATATGTTTGTGCTGGGGTGGGTCTACTGGGAAGTAGTGAGCCACGTACCAGACTTGCTGCTTTCGACGTCTGGATAAGCAGGATAGAAGTACTCCCGGGGTTTTATGCACCATCTGCTCCCTGAGACCATGGGGCTGATCTCAGTACTCTGCAGTTATACGTCATGCCCCTGCGTCTCGTTTAGTTCGGGGCGTGTTTGATGCAGGGATTGATGCACTAGTACGTGTGGCCCCATTGTAGATTATGGCTCGAGACCTCTACATAGGGGCTGAGCTATTTTCGACATTGTATTAGGGTTGATCAAGCCCGTTCCAATTCGCATACCCATATATTTTGTATGTGAAACATGTCACGTAGGTGTGAAGTTTGCTAGGACCGAGATGTCCCTTGGGAACTGGTCCCGTTTGGTGGTTTTATATGTGAAACATGTCACGTAGATGCTGGGTTCGCTAGGATCGAGGTGCCCCTTGGGGTCTGATCCACCTAGTATGCCCCTTTTAAGTTCAGTGGAGTTCATGTGGCTCCTTTAGTCGGCACTAAAATATGTTATATAGGCTTAGTCCGTAGACGTTTTTAGCGTACATAGGAGGAACAAACCAGTGTATTTAAAATATATAGATAGCTAGGTATCTGTAGAAAACCCGATCCGGAGATCTAATTAGAAATGGTAGAACTTGAGGTGCAGGGCGTTCCAGCAGATAGGTTGGACCTTTCCTTTGCTGTCTTGCAGCTTGTAGGCTCCTGCTCCCTGCACTACAATTATTTTTTTGGGGCCTTCCCAACCTGGGGCCAGCTTCCCTGCCGATTTGTATTTAGTGTGGTCACAGACTCGTCGCAGGACCCAGTCTCTTTGCTGGAAGGTTCTAGTCCTGACTTTCTTGTTGTAGCTCCTGGCTACCTTCCGTTGATAGGAAATGTTCCTTAGGCGAGCAGCCTCTCTTTTTTCGTCGAGTAGATCCAGGCTTAGGGTCAACAATTCGTTGTTTTCCTCCTGGGAGATGGGTCCGGAGACAGCCTCTCTGAAGTCGTGGCTCGTGAACTGGGGCCCGTTGTCTGTGACAATCTTTTGGGCCGTGCCGAAGCGGGTTATCACGTATGAACTTCTTTATTTTCTCTGTAATAATCGTGGTTAGGGCCTCGGCCTCTACCAATTTTGTAAAGTAGTCAGTTATTACGAGGAGAAATACCTTTTTCCCCGGTGCCATTGGGAATTTCCCGACGATGTCCATGCCCTATTTCGGAAGGGCCAGGGAGAGCTTAGAGACTTCAGGTTCTCCGGAGGGAGGTTGGAGATCGGGGCGTGCCTCTAGCATTGATCACAGGACCTGGCTTTTCTGAGGGTGTCATTGGCCATCGGGGGCTAGTAGTAGCCTGCTCTTCTAGCTCTGAGCACTAGGCTTCGGCCGCTGGAGTGGGAGCCGCATTCTACTTCATGGAGCTCTTCTAGGATTCGGGCCGCCTCCCTAGGGGTGAGACATTGCAGGTATGGTCCTGAAAAAGAAAATCGGTATAACTTTCCTTCGGTGATGTAGTACTTGTTGCTTGCCTTTTTATCTTTTGGCCTTCGCTTCGATCCTCGGGGAGGAGGTCGCGTACGAGGTAGTCGATTATAGGGGTCATCCAGGTTTCTCCTTCATCGATGACGGAGATTTCTTTGGGATCCCCTTCTCGGTCTGTGGCCGGTCACTGGAGTACCAGCAGGGGAATGCTAATCTGGCTAGTGGTTTCAAGGGCGGACCCTACAGCTCTGGAATCTTTTGATCAGGCGTTTTGCTACAGCGAGGTATTTGATCATGCTGGCGTCCTTGGTCTGGTAATCAACTTGGACCTGGCTGATGATTAGTTGGGAGTCGCTGAAGACCTGGATCTCCTCTACTCCCATTTGTTTAGCGAGTGAGAGGCCTGCGATTAGGGCCTCATACTCGGCGTCGTTGTTTGTAGCTTTGAAGTTGCATCTTATCGCTCTTTATGCCGATTCACCAGTGGGGGAGGTAAGGACCAGGCCTACTCCTGCTTCTCTCACATTGCTGGACCGATCGACGTGTAGGGTCCATTCTTCTGTTCCTCCTGCTGAATTCTGGAAATCAAGTTCTGACTTCGGACCGGAAGCATGGAAGGTTAGAATTCAGAAATGAAGTCGGCGAGGACCTGTGACTTAATGGCCCACTTGGCAAGGCGTCCTGACACCTCGGGCTTATGGAGGACAGCTTTTATGGGAAATGAGGTGATCACCGTGACCTGATGGGCCTGGAAGTAGGCCGGAGCTTGCGAGCCGCTGTGACCAATGCTAGTGCTAGCTTTTCGAGGTGGTTGTAGCGAGTTTCTGTATCCAATAAGGACTTACTCACGTAGTAGATGGGATGTTGCTTCCTTCCTTATTTTTTCACAAGGAAACCGCTTACTGCATGCTCGGACACGGCAAGGTAGAGTAGCAAGGTCTCTCCATCTAGGAGTTTTGAGAGGAGAGGAGGCGTGGTGAGGTAGGCTTTGAGGTCGTTGAGAGCGAGTTCGCACTTGTCGCTCCATTGGAAGTCTTTGGGGTCTTTCAGGGCCTCAAAGAAGGCGTGAGATTTGTCGGACAGCCTGGAGATGAATCTGCTTAGTGGGGCCATCCGGCCCGTTAGTCGTTGAACTTCCTTTACGTTTCGCGAGGAATAGATACCTTGGATGGTTCGCACCTGCTCTGGGTTGGCCTCGATGCCTCTGCAAGTAACTATGTACCATAGGGATTTTCTGGAGCTAACTCCGAATGAACACTTTGAGGGGTTGAGCTTCATGTTGTATTTCCTACTGGTGACGAAGGCTTGTTGTAGATGGGAGATGTGGTCGTCTTCTTCGAGGGATTTGACCAACATGTCGTCTATGTAGACTTCCATGTTCTGCCTGATCTGCTCAGCAAACATCATGTTTACGAGTCTTTGGTAGGTAGACCCTCATTCTTCAGGCCGAAAGGCATGACTTTGTAGCAATAGATGCCCCTAGAGGTCATGAAGGAGGTCTTTTCCTAGTCGTCTGGATGCATAAGGATTTGGTTGTAGCCTAAGAAGGCGTCCATGAAGCTCATGAGTTGGTGGTCTGCAGTGGCGTCGACAAGCTTATCAATATGAGGTAGGGGAAATGGATCTTTGGGGCATGATTTGTTGATGTCGGTGAAATTGATGCAGACCCTCCATTTCCCATTCTTCTTCCTGACCATGACAACGTTGGCTATCCACTCAGGATACTGGACTTCTCTTATAAATCCAGCATCGAGTAGGTTCTTGACCTCTTTATTGATTATTTCGTCCCTCTCGGTTGCAAATTTCCTTCTCTTCTATCGTACAGGGGTGAATTGAGGGTCTACCTGCAGCTTGTGCATGATAATTTCAGGGTCGATCCCGGGCATTTCCTCGTATGACCATGCGACACAATCATAATTGGAGCAGAGGAAGTTGATCAATCTTTTCCATAACCTCGTGGGAAGCTTGGAACCTATCAACAGTTTCAGGTCCGGGTCTCCGTCTTTCAGGGGTATCTCGTCCATCTCTTCTACCCCGGGCTCCTCCGTATGCAAAGCCGGAGGGCCTTTCGGTAATTGCTATAAGACCGGGCTTCTCCCCTTCAGTGTGTTTTGATAGCAGGCCCTGGCGTTCTCCTGATCTCCTTTGATTACCCTGATGCCCAGGGGATCGGGAATTTGATGGATTGGTGGAGAGTTGAAGGTACGGCCCCCATGTCGTGGATCCAGGGCCGGCCCAATATCATGTTGTAGGAGGATGCGTAGTCGACAACGAGGAACTTTTTCGGTTGGTTTACTCCTTCGGCGTATACTGGAAGGATTACCTCTCCCAAGGTGTTCTTTACCTCTCCGCTGAAGCCTATGAGCGGAGTAACCTTCCTTGTCAGTGTGTCTTCCTCCAGCCTTAGATCGGTGTAGGCTGGAATGAAGATGATGTTGCCGGAGCTACCGTTGTCTATTAGGATCCGTCTCACTAAGAAATTTTCTGCGGTGAGGGAGAAGACCAGGGCATCGTGATGAGGAGCCATGACCCTCTCCTGTTCCTTGGCAGTTAAACTGATATCATCTGTCCCGAGGAGCAGGCGCTTTGGGTCCCTCATCTCTTGACCATGTTTAGCATTTCTGGTACTGCGCTTAGCGGCAGCATGGATTATACTGCTTATCTCTGAGCCTCCGAAAATTACATGAATGACTCGGTATTGGTGCGGGGGAGA